ATGCAAACGGCTTACAACCTCAATCCGTCTTTCTGCCATGATGGCGGCACAAGGGGCGGCGATGAGTGAATCGCCTCTTAGTCTCTTCGCCACCATGGAACCGCTGCCACTTTCTCCATTCGTTTCTTCTCCTTCGGCTATTCCCTTTTTGCCATTGGTGGCCCTCCCATCAGTAACATCAGCCCGTTCGCAATGGCCAAATAGTTCCACCTCCTGCACTGCCGGTGCCATCAGCGTGGCTGTCAGTCTCAGAATGGGGGCATATCGGTTGCGGTACTGCCGCAAGCGTCGTGTAATCTCCTGGCACACCGTGTCGTCCAGTGAGCCCGCTACTTCAAGCAACACCGGTCTAAAGGTTGAACGATTCTTTCTCTGCATGGAGTCCACACTCTGCGCAGGAGGGCATTTCGCTGGGCCTTTCTCTTCCTTCCCCTCCTCCTTCTCCATTGCTCCCACTTGCTAAGAGCGGTTTCCTTTATTCGTATTGGGGGAGTGTCAAGGCTAAAAAAAAAAAAAAAAACAAGAAAAAGAAAAAGTGGCATACACACAGTTGCGCACACTGGTGCGTGACGCCACACCATCGCTACAATGCGTATGACTGCCAGTGCATGAACACATATATACTGGAAAAAAAAAAGGGAAAATTTAAAAAATAATCATAAAACCACTACAATAAACTTGTAGCCATCAAAGCCAACTCTAACAAGATAGTCCAAAACGGTAATACAGATCAATACGTGGCACAGATAGTAAGAAGAAAAGTAATATCAAGCGTACCTGTGCATAGGTGGTTAGGGTCAGGAAGAAGGAGCAATGAAAAACCACTTCTCCCCGCCACCTTGTTCTATTATATTTTCGTTTCTATTCACTCCTTACATTTCTCTTCCTCTTTTACTGGGAATGTCCATCCAGTGTCTAACGACTATTTTATTTTAACCAGCGTCCAGCCTGCGAATGATCACTGGCGTCTTTGGCGTGCACGACTCCTCAACGTCATTACGAGGTCGCCGGACAGCACCGCCGCCAAAGGCACAGTTTGCACCACCACCACCATCACCGCTGTTGTGGTGGTGGTGGTTGTTCAAGGATGCCCCGTCAATGGCCCAGCGTGCAAGATCCACCAGCCGCAAAGAAACTTCAAGTACGGCATGCACAAATCGCATCTCCAGCGATGCCGATGGCTCCTCGTTCTCACACGTTTCCACTGCGGTAGACCACCTTTTAACCAGCTCCGGAACGCGCGGTGGAAGCTGAAAAAAGCGCAGAACATCACGCGCTGTGGGCCGTGTGGTTGGGTCCTTATGCATCAGCATGGCTACGAGGTCAATCAGAGGCCTTGAGTAGCCGCGACGCTCGAGAACTTCTATCGGCAGTTCACTGCGCAACTCCAAGAAGGG